CCAAAGAAAGGAAGTAATAAAGATTAGAGCAGAAATAAATGATATAAAAACTAAAAAACAATAGAATAGATCAATGAAACCAGGAGCTGGTTCTTTGAAAAAAATAAATAAAATTGTTATCCAGAGGGGTGCGTGCACCCCAATGTTTACAGCAGCAAGTCCACAATAGCCAAACTATGGAAAGAGCCAAGATGTCCATCAAGACATGAATGGATAAAGAAGATATGGTATATACAGACAATGGAATATTATGCAGCCATCAAAAAACTGAAATCTTGCCATTTGCAACAACGTGGATGGAACTAGAGAGTATTATGCTAAGCGAAATAAGTCAATCAGAGAAAGACATGTATCATATGATCTCACTGATAAGAGGAATTCTTAATCTCAGGAAACAAACTGAGGGTTGCTGGAGTGGGGGTGGGGTGGGAGGGATGGGGTGGCTGGGTGATAGACATTGGGGAGGGTATGTGCTATGGTGAGCACTGTGAATTGTGTAAGACTGTTGAATCACAGACCTGTACCTCTGAAACATATAATACATTATATGTTAAAAAAAAAAGAAAAGAAGATAGTAGGAAGGGAAAAATGAAGGGGGGAATCAGAGGGGGAGACGAACCATGAGAGACTATGGACTCTGAGAAACAAACTGAGGGTTCTAGAGGGGAGGGGGGTGGGGATGGGTTAGCCTGGTGATGGGTATTAAAGAGGGCATGTATTGAATAGAGCACTGGGTGTTATATGCAAACAATGAATCATGGAACACTACATCAAAAACTAATGATGTATGGTGATTAACATAACATAATAAAATAAAATTGAAAAAAAATTGACAAATCTCTAGCCAGACTTAATCAAGAAAAAAAGAGAAAGGGCCCAAATAAAATCACAAATGAGAGGAGAAATAACAACAAACACCATGGAAATAAACTTATAAGAGAGTATTATGAAAAACTACATGCCAACAAATTGGACAACCTGGAAGAAATGGATAAATTCCAGAAACATATAATCTAGCAAAAGTGAAACAGGAAGAAATAGAAAATTTGAACAGACTGATTACAAGCAAAGAAATTGAATCAGTAATCCAAAAACTCCCAACAAACCAAAGTCCAGAACCAGATGGCTTCACAGACAAGTTCTTGCAAATATTTAAGGGGGGGCCTGGGTGGCTCAGTCAGTTAAGCATCTGCCTTCAGCTCAGGTCCTGATCCTGAGGTCCTGGGATCAAGCCCCACATCGGGCTTCCCGCTCAGCAGGGAGTCTGCTTCTTCCTCCCCCTCACTCATGCGCACACTCTCTCTCTCTCTGTCTCTCAAAATAAATAAATGAAATCTTTTTAAACAACAACAAAACATTTAAAGAAGAGCTAATGCCTTTTCTTCTCAAACTATTCCGAAAAATAGAAAAGGAAGGAAAGCTTTCAAATTTATTCTGTGAGGCCAGCATTCTCCTGATACCAAAACCTAGTAAAGACACCACTAGAAAACAGAACTACAGGGCAATATCCCTGATGAACATAGATGCAGAAATCCTCAACAAAATACTAGCAAACCAAATCCAACAATACATTAAAAACGTCATTCACCACAATCCAGTGGGATTTCCTCCAGGGTTGCAAGGGTGGTTCAGTATTCACAAATCAATCAACATGATACATCACATCAACAAGAGAAAGACTAGAAACATATGATCATTTCAATAGATGCAGAAAAAGCATATGACAAAGTACAACATCCATTCATGAAAATGCCCTCAACAAAGTTAGTTTAGAGGGAACATACCTCAACATAATAAATAGCTCAATATATGGAAAACCATAGCAAACATTATCCTCAGTGGGGAAAACTGAGAGCCTTTCCCCTAAGGTCAGGAACAAGACAGGGATGTTCACTCTCACCATTTCTATCCAACATCATACTGGAAGTCCTAGCCAGAGCAATTAGACAATAAAAAGAAATAAAAGACATCCAAGTCAGTAAGGAGGAGGTGAAACATTCACTATTTGGAGATGACATGATACTCTTTATATAGGAAACCTGAAAGACTCCCTCGCCAAAACTTCTGGAACTGATAAACAGATTCAGTAGATACAAAACCAGTGTACAGAAATCTGTTGCATTTGTGTACACCAATAAGGAAGCAGCAGAAAGAGAAATTAAGAAAACAATCCTAGGGCGCCTGGGTGGCTCATTCGGTTAGGTGTCTGCCTTCAGCTCAGGTCATGATCTCGGGGTCCTGAGATCAAGTGCCACATCGGGCTCCCTGCTCCGTGGGGAGTCTACTTCTCCCTTTCCCCCTCCCCCCACTTGTTCTCTCTCCCCTCCTCTCAAAAATGAATAAATAAAATCTTAAAAAAAGAGAAAACAATCCTATTTACAATTGCACCAACAATAGTAAGATACCAAGGAATAGACCTAACTAAAGAGGTGAAAGAACTGTACTCTGAAAACTATAGAACACTTATGAAAGAAACTGAAGATGACACAAAGAAATGGAAAGACATTCCATGCTCATGGATTAGAAGAACAAATTTTGTTAAAATGTATACCACCCAAAGCAATCATACATTTAATGCAATAGCTATCAAAATACCACCAGCATTTTTCAAAGAGCTAGAACAAACAATCCTAAAATTCGTATGGAACCACAAAAGACCCTGAATAGCTAAGCAATCCTGAAAAAGAAAAGCAAATCTGGAAGCATCACGATTCTAGACTTCAGGTGATATTACAAAGCTGTAATCCTCAAAACAGTATGAGACTGGCACAAAAACAAGACACTTAGAACAATGGAACAAAAAAGAAAATCCAGAAATGGGCCCACAACTGTATGGTAACTAATCTTCAACAAAGTAGGAAAGAATATTCAATGGGAAAAAAAAGACAGTCTCTTCAAATTGTGTTGAGAAAACAGGACAGCAATATGCAGAAGAATGGAACTGGACCACTTTCCTACACCATACACAGAAATAAATTCAAAATGGATGAAAGACCCAAATGTGAGACAGGAAACCATCAAAATCCTAGAGGAGAACACAGGCAGCAACCTCTTTGACCACGGCCATAGCAATTTCTTACTAGACACATCTCTGGAGGCAACACAAACAAAAGCAAAAATGAACTATTGGGACTAAATCAAAATAAAAAGCTTCTGCATAGCAAAGAAAACAATCAATAAAACTAAAAGGCAGCCTACAGAATAGGAGAAGATATTTGCAAATGACGTATCTGATAAAGGGTTAGTATCCAAAATCTATAAAGAGCTTATCAAACTCAACATCCAAAAAACAAATAATCCAGTTAAGAAATGGGCAAAAGATATGAATAGACATTTCTCCAAAGATGACATACAGATGGCTAACAGACACATGAAAAAGTGCTCAACATCACTCATCATCAGGGAAATACAAATGAAAAGCACAATAAGATACCAGCTCACACCAGTCAGAATGGCTCAAATTAATGCAAGAAACAACAGGTGTTGGTGAGGATGGGGAGAAAGGGGAACCCTCTAGCACTGTTGGTGGAAATGCAAACTGGTGCACCCATTCTGGAAAATAGTATGGAGGTTCCTCAAAAAGTTAAAAGTAAAACTACCCTACACCACTCAGCAATTGTACTACTAGGTATTTATCCAAAGGTTACAAAAATACAGATTCAAAGTGGTGCATGCACCCCAATGTTTATAGCAGCATTATCGACAATAGACAAACTGTGTAGAGTCCACATGTCCAACAGCTGATGAATGGATAAGGAGGATGTGAGGTGTGTGTGTATAATATATATATGAGGGAATATTACTCAGCTATCAGAAAGAATGAAATCTTTTCATTGCAACTATGTGTTGGAGCTAGAGTGTATTATGCTAAGCGAAATAAGTCAGTCAGAGAAAGACAAATACCATATGATTTATCTCATATGTGGAATTTAAGAAACAAAACAGATGAGCATATGGGAAGGGGAGGGTAAAAAGAGAGAACGAGAAGGAGACAAACCATAAGAGACACTTAATGATAGAGAACAAAGTGAGGGTTGATGGAGGGAGGTAGGTGGGTGATGGGTATTAAGGAGGGCACTGGGTGTTGTTTGTAAATTCTGCTCCTGAAACCAGTATTGCACTGTATGTTAACTAAATAGAATTTAAATAAAATTTTGAAAAGAAAAAAATGTTTAAAATAAAAATAATGGTCATCATGTTGTTGTGATAAATTATTAAAAGCACCAATTACAGTTCTGCTACATGATAGGTGCTTTACAAATATTTTATATTCTTCTCCTTTTTCTGTCAATATTCCTAGGCCTAGCAGTCTGATACTTAAGGTCTCATTCAACTTTCGTTTGACTGAATTATTCTCCCTACATTTCAAAATTATCAGTGCTATGTGCTAGTAAGTAGAGGTGTAACACTGCTAATCTCACTGCACCAAGCTGTACTTTCCATATTTTATGAGGTTTCTTGCCTTTTACTTATTCCACATGGCCACCATTTTGGAATTCTATGTTTTGAGGAAGAAATGTCGTCCATAGTCTCCTTGTTCTTTCTCCTGTCCTTTTCACGGCATTCTTTTGATTTCTCTTGCAGTTATAGCACTCACCTTAATCTAGATTGTACTGATGTTATTTATAGACTTGTCTTTGCCCCCAAATGGGTTAAAATCTACCTCAGAGTTTCTTAACTTATTTGGGGTTCCTTGTTAACCCTTTGAGACTATAATGAAAGCTTTGAACCATTTCCTGCTCTCAGCAAAAGTACGTATGTACAAACAAAAGTTTTCATAATTAGTTCAGGAGGTTTGTGGACTCCAGGTAAGGACTCTTTTTCTAGATATTGTCCTTAAGAGCTATACCTGAGCTTCATTGACCTTTGTATTGTGGCAGAGCCTACCACATAGATAGGAGATACTCAGCAAAAAGTTTCTGAATTAATTGAAATGCAAAATGAAAATCTTCAAGTTTCTTACTACAGAATCTCTAAACACACTTTCTTTGTTTCCTTAGGCTTCCATCTCAGTGGCACAGTAACTGAGGCAGCTACTACTTCAGAACCAGCAGTGACCTACAAAGTTGCAATTAGTTTTGATCGATGCAAAATCACTTCAGTGACATGTGGCTGTGGGAACAAAGACATATTCTACTGTGCTCATGTGGTAGCACTCTCACTCTACAGGATCCGTAAACCAGACCAAGTCAAATTGCGTCTTCCTATCTCAGAAACCCTTTTCCAGATGAATAGGGACCAACTACAAAAGTTTATTCAATATTTAATCACGGCACACCACACTGAAGTTCTTCCTACTGCACAGAAACTGGCAGATGAAATTCTATCCTCCAACTCTGAAATCAACCAAGTGAATGGTAATTATACAACATTTTTGTTGCTAAAAACCTACCTTGTGCTTTATTGCATATTTAGAGGTTGAAAATCTTTTTGGAATATTTTTGCAGTTGTAGTCACTTAAACCTTAATGAATTCATTCTATCCAAACAGCTATTTAACTCTTAGTTTCTTAAAGCAGTCCAATTGTCTACCTTATAAAAGTTTTGGCAAAAAAGGACAGAATGTTAGAGTTATATATTGGTCTAGTTTATGGACTTTATTTGTCCATATAATCCCTGTCCCCAGGAGCCTGGAATATTCAGGAGTGAGAGAACGCCTAAAATAATTTGTGTCATTCAGTGAAATTAAATGTATATGAGAATTTCCTTAACATTATAGGATCCCACATAACATCAGGGTTATTCTAAAGAGCATCTGTTAGCATTGTGATTATGAGCTATATATAATGGGAGGGTTGCATGGATGGAGAAAGATACTATGTTCACTTACTCATTCAATAAGTATATATTGAGTACCTGCTCTGTGCAAGCAATAGTGCTGATTGTTGAAGGCATAAAACAGACATGGTTCCTGCCTTCAAGTAGCTTAAAATCTAGTAGAAAAGACAGCTAAATTTGAAACAAATGCTTGTTTTTATAATGAAGCCAGGTTGTAAAGACTTTATCATAGGAAACTACTGAAGAATTTTGAGAAGGCATTTTGTTTGTTAGATCCTACTATGTTCCAGGCACCACTGAAGGGACTCTGTATATATTAATTCGTTTAGCTTTCAAAACTAGTCTGTGAAGTAGGTGTTTTAACCGCTTCCATTTTATAAATAAGGAAATTATTTATAACCCAGGCTCACCTGACTTCAGAACTCAAGGTTTTTATGCTTCTCTATAGTACCTCTTTATTTTTAGAAGATAATTTTGGTGTCAGCATAAAAGAGGCAGTGATACCAGGTTGGGTGGCCTGTATAATACTGTGGTCCATGTGCCAGAGGGTCTGCCTTTCCCAGTTGTCCAATAGAACTAATCAAGTCCTACACACAACCTCACCACTCCTCAGAAACAAAGATAAACAGACAAGCTTCCAAGAACTCTTGCTAACTAGCAGAAATAATCTTCTGTTGCTTTATACAGAAAATTGTGGTGTTTACATAATAACTGAGCTCTCGCTCTTTGAGTGATACTCTTAAAAGGGTAGCTTCACATATCTCTTATCCCACATAGGGAAGCTGTTCTACTTCTCTGGCCTCCTTAAGTCTAGAGCTCTTAGAGACCTGAGTTCTGCCTCATCCCAACGTCTGTAGCACCAAAGAGAAGTACTGCTTTGTACCCCAATAGCTAGGTTATGATCTATTCTCATGCTTTATTCCCATTAGCTCTTTCTCAAAATTTCTCAGAATTAGCTCTTTCTCAGAATTTCCAAGCTCTCTTGCCTTTTCTTTTAGTGACCACCTCGGTTAAGGACGTGTATTACACCTGTCTTGTTCGAACCACTGCTGTCGCCAAAACAGCCCCCTTCCCTCTTTACCACTGTGCTAAAGCAATTTTTATCTTTCTTTGAACCTCCCATATCAGTATCCTATTATGTATTTATCTGAAATTAGGCTTAAGTTGCCACATCGAACTTGAGATGTGATTCTCAACCTTCCCCAGGATCTGCTACTTCTGAACCTGTGTTTAGTCCATACTAATATTAGCTTTCTACACCCAGCTTCCCTAGTATTCCACAAGGCCTTTCCTGATCTATTTCTAATAATCAATGTTGATATCAGCAATGATACTGAGAAAAGGGGGACAGAGGATGGAGATATCTTAGAGGTAACATGGACTGTATTCAACATCCAGGTGTATAGGATGTGTGGGGAGTAAAGAAAAGGAAGAAGAGAAAGATGGGAGAAAACTGAATTCTAGAATGTCTAGCTAGGATGGTATTGATGAATTTGATCACTGAGGGAACGTAAGAAGAGGAATGAATTTAGGAGGAAGATGAATTCAGTATAAGTTGGAGGTGCTTATAGAACATTTAGGAAAATTTTTCTGATGGATATTGGATATATGGATCTGGAACTGAGGACAAAAGTCGGAATTTTGGAGTTATTAGCATAGAGATACTTGAAGTCATGTTTCTTTTCCCTGCTAAATCTTTAAACACTTAGGCCGTCTTCCTTATTCCCTTTCCCAAACCTTCTTCCTCACCAAAACAGACTTAAAACCAGGAATAAGATTTCTAAAACTGGTAACTGCCTGCTTTTAAGCCCAAGAATGGATCCAGGCATTGCTGTGCTCCTCACTTCTTTGAAACCCCTTTTTTTCTCTTCTGTGGTTTTAACCTAGGAAGTAAAACCTAGATTTTGCCTTGTCCCCTTTGGTAGACTGTTTTTCTACATCTATCACTGCTCCATGCTCTGTGATTTGATTTGGTAACTACATACCCTGAAATCCTCTGGTATAGCATCCTGGTCAAGGGATTCAGTTGCTGCTTACCAATGAAGAGATAATGGATACCTTGAGAAACGTAAGATAATTTGAGAAGTAGGGTCAGGAACCATGTTTTGCTAATTTCTGAGTCTCTGTCACCTAGCATGGTACCTGGAAATTAATAAGGGTTTACTGAATGAATACAGCTATGCATATACAAGTGATGAAAACGGGAGCCATTGTAGGAATGAGCAAAGTAGAACGAGAAATGAGAAAAAGATAGCTAGCAATTATCAAAGTCAGTATAGAACTGAGTGAACAACTGAGTTGTTTCAAGAAGTGAAGAGTCAACAACGTTGAATATTGTGGAAGATACAGACCAAAGTTAACAAACGTAGAAAGGCAATTTGGGGGAAATAGGAACTATGCAGAGAGAAGAAAACCTTGAGAAATTATTAATAACATTATCATTAGATTAAAAAAATATTACAACCATGAAATAAGAACCGGATACTGTAAAAACAAATTCACACAACAGGAAGAACTAATGAAATTACAAATATAATGGCAAATTTTTTTAAAACTACGTGATGGAAAATAAGGGTAAGGAAAGTTCCTATAGAGTAGAGCAAGAAGACAGATGAAAAATAGGAGAAAAAAACTTGTCAAAAATTAAGAGAACAGTCCTAGGAATTCCAATGTTTGAATAATAGGGGTTTCAGAAATAGAAAACAGAGGTAAGGAATTTGTCAATGAAATAATTGAATATAATAAGAAAATTTTCTAGAACAAAAGCATGTGGTTCCCAAAGTGAAAGGATTCCACTTAATGCCCAGCAGTGGAAAAAGAATAAATAAATGGAGCTGGATCAATTAGATATTCATGTAGGGGGTTGGGGAAAAGCAAAACTCCATTCCTATCTCATGCCATACAAAAAAAATCAGTAATAGATGGATTGCAGATATAAATGTGAAAAGTAAAACAATAAAATATATGAGATAACATGAGAAAATATCTTCATGTCCTTGAGGTAAGAAAAATTTTCTTAAGTAGGAAAAGATTTGAAAATGGGACTACATTAAAATTTTAAACTTCTTTTTATCAAAAGGCACCTAAGAGACTAAAAAGGCAAGTAGGGGAGAAGGTATTTACAGTATATATAACTGACAAAGAGTTTATATCCTAATACAATAAATAACCCCTACAAATAGTAAAATGGACAAGAGACACAGAAAGGCACTTGACAAAAAGGATATCCAAATGGTTAATAAACACATTAAAAGGTACTTTAAGTAGTAATCAGGGAAATACAAATTAAAACCAGAATGAGATACCATTATATACCCACCAGAATGGCTAAGTTTTTAAAACTATCAGTAGCAACTACTGGTGAGGATATTGAGCAACTGGAACTAATATATTGCATGTGGGAACTAATATATTGCAGCTACAAATTGTGGCAGTCACTTTGAAAAACTGTTTAGCATCGTCTAACTAAAGTTGAGCATATGCATACCGTGTGACCCAGAAATTCTTTTAGATGTCTACTCAGTGGAAATGAGAAGCATAATGTGCAACAGCTGAAATATAAACAATCCAAATGTCCATCAACAGTAGAGTGACTAAATAAATAGATACATTCATATAATGGAATACTATACATCAATGAAAATAAATTAAGTACTGTTGCTAAACCCCAAAATATGGGTGAATCTTACAAACATGATGTTGAGTGAATGGAGCCAGACACAAAAGAAGTAACTCTTGTATGATTCTACTTATGTAAAGTTCAAACACAAGTGTCTGGTGTTATAAGTTAGGATAGTGATTAATATGGGGGAAGAGGAAAGGAGATAGTGTTTGTGAAGGGGCTTATGGGATGCTGGTAGTATTATATTTCTTGACTTTGGTGATACTTACACTGTTAAAATTACTATGTGATAATTCATCAAGCTGTATATGCAAGATTTGTATACTCTTCATAATTTATATTTCAGTTTTAAAATATTAATTTAATTTTAAAAGCAATGTGTATATGTGTATATACGTACATGTGTACACAGGGACTGGAAGGAAATACACCATAATATTAACAATAGTAATCTATGGCTGGTAGCATTATAGGTGGATTTTATTTTCTTTATGCTTTAGTGTATTTTATATAATCAGCATGTATTATTTTTATAATTTAAAAAAGAATGTTTAATAATGAAAGAAAAATTGATTCCATAGACTTAATAGTTCCCTCAGGACAGGGCTCATTGTTACAGCCTCAATGCTAACTTGGAGCCTCAAGCCACATGATGGTTTGTTTCATAATTATTTATAAAAGACATCCTTTCTATTTTATCTTCACTTGTTACCATTTCTTTTACAATCCTGTGGAAAATTTTACACTGTAACATTAAAGTGTCATTTACACTGAGGGGGTCCACTTTACCACTACTGAGGGTAATTAGTGTCATATTCACCTCTTTTTATGAAAAGACTAACATGAACGTATATAGAAACATTGTTATCTTTTTTTTTTAACCAAAGGATTTTTTAAAAAGATTTTGCCTGGGAGTGGACAGCTGGAGAGGCTGGTTGTGAACTACAGACCTAGTTTA